AACCATCTACCCCGGTATATTTAGAGTGCTACCTATACTGTATGCTTTAGAGTATCCGTTCTATCAGTTTCGTTATGAAGCAGTTGATAGTGAAACTCATGACGTGGTTATGATAATGCCTGGGAACGACAAGCTGACACCCGCCACGAGAACAAAAAGGCGGGAAAATATGGGGAACAGAATCTTGGTCAGCATCCAAGTCGATTCATCGGATTCAGTAAAAAAAATCTGACACTGCGCATTCAGTCATTCTTTAAAAGAGACTCGTTCCACGGCCATCACTTCCTCGCACCACAAACGTCGGGAAGACTGGACACCAGCTAAGTGCGCTAAGACGTCTGGGATTGTTTAGTTTGCCTTGAAATAACCTTCTAGACTAAGACAAAACTATGGAACCTGCCAAAACCCGTCAATTTTGCGATGTTAAATACGAGCCAAACCTCTCACGAGGGGAACAAATACCAGCTGATAACAAATATTTCTAATCTACGAGAATGTAATGGGCCCATAGTTTTCGCCATCTTTAATTGGATCAAAATCTTAAAAGATCTTTCGACTCTCTCGGCTGCAACAACTGGAAAGGTGCAATGCTGAAAGTGATAAAGATGTAGCTGTAAACCAGAAGTTGATTTTATTGATTTATTCGAAAATTTAGAAGATCCAAAGCCGAACTAAAGTTAAATTTGGCAATCTATTTGAAACTAACCTGCGATCCGGTGTTCTCTTTTGGACGAACGTCTACCGCCCCTCATCAGCGATGTTTAGATTTATCCGGACACTTACGCGGCTTTTTGCTTGTTTACTTATAGTTGAAATGTCGTTGGCGAAACGCAACACATCGCGTCATGCAGTGTTATTTTTGCGATTACTGCTTAACCGACAGATTCATTTATTTTATTGAAAGTGATTAAAAGTGTGGGAATAAACAAATTATTCTTCCATTAGTTTGCATAAAGTGCTCCTGTATATCGTCAACTGATGTACACAGTTTCACGATTCTTGGCAAACTGAAAAGTTCTACAAGCTCCGCACAAGAAGAAGCGACTGACGGTGGGAGTGAACGTGTCCAGTGTCAAGAAAACGACGGAGTTTCACATAAAAAATTAGTACCGAAAGGTATATCAAGGAAAACCGGCGATGGCTATAAAGTCTTTCTTCATCTGCTCTTTTTTTGAATATTTCTGAATACAATTTTGAAGAGACGAAATTATAACTGGACTAATAGCAGCTAAAAAATCGCTGTTCACAACCGCGGCATCTGAATTACATTCAATTACGTAGTCAGTATTGGAACGGGGTGCAAAGATCTACGATGAAACTGGGCGCTAGCCTGAAATGTGGGCAGCCTACTAGCTCCCTGGGGATTTGGCAGAGGGTGAGAGATGAATGATATTCAGGGGCGCCAAACCAAAATCTTGCTGAAGCGGATGTTCAGTTAGGTCCCAGAACTTTCCAGAAATATCATAGCCTGCGAAATTAACGCGGACTATTTCCGGATGTCGCTTGTCTTTGAAGGCAATGCAACTGCGTTCGCAGGCTAGAAATATCATT